CCCCAAAAGTTCAGCATCCTTGCCAGGCTGGAAGCAGCTCCAGCAGCTCCATCGATTACTTGAATACTGGTTTACTTAGTAATCCAGCGGGGTAGTGACTGGTTAAAGACGTAAGTGCTCTGAGCCCAGGGGAGAAATGAGGGTTGGATGCTGAGTCCGCATTGAAGGGAGCTAGAACTGTTGCCTGCAGGATTGGAAGTACCAGCTTTTTCAACCACCGTTCCTTTCCCCGGGAACGGAAAAGGCAAGAGCTCCACCGGGGAGCTTGTGGGAGCAGCCAGGCAATGCTGAGCCTGCCTGAGCACAGCTGGGTTTTGCTCAGCTCAGCCATTCCCACCTCTCCCTGCAGAGCTCCAAGGACTCAAGGTGCAGCCCCAGGGAGGTGTTGGTGCAGTTGGAGGTGCCAGCACAGATGTGTTGGGGAAGAAGCCTCAGGCAGTGACACATCCCATCCTGTTCCCAGCTGCTTATCGCTGCTTTCCTCGTTCAGCCCATCCAGCAGCCACTGCTCTCTCGGATCTGCCAACACAGCTACGTGCCAGAGCACCCTGCTGCACTCAAAATCATCACACCAGCTTAAAAACAATAAACACTCAAACTCTTCTAGCCCAGCTCATTTTTGACAGAACCGAGTATCAGGTCTCAGCTATTAATCTTTAAGCAAAACAACAGATGCTGAATGCATTTGTCTATAAATTGCCTTTCCAAAGCCTCACCCATACATTTTTATAATGTCCTAATACACGTTTCTCAAATTCCACTGTTTTAAGAGGAACAAGCCAGCCAGAACTTGTGACCAATGCCTTTTCTGACAGAGCAGCGACAGGACACGTGTTTTCCAGGAGGAACCTTAAAAAGGCACAGCAGTTACTACACTGACAGCCACGGGTAATGGCTGATTTGAATTTACCGTTACCATGACCATGCATGTACACCAAGCTAGGGAGCTGCCTTACAAACATTAACAACAGCTATTTTTGTTCATTTCTTTGTGAGAGGCCACAGTTATTGTGCAGCTGTGTGCCCAGTTATCAAGACTGTAACTACACACCCTTGAGAACTTCCATTTGTAGTATTTTTCCCACTGGAATATTGGATGACTAGATGTTCTCTGTTAAAGACTTGTGATGAGAGGGCAGCACTGGACACAAGGTGACTGTGGCAGTGCTCACTTCTCACAGATCCCCATCAACCCACTTCGGCAACGCGCAGAGTGACCTGGTCTGAGGAGGAGTGATCATTAACCTCCCTTGTTTCTTCAAACCTTGGCTTCAGTGCTGAATCCAAACTGCTTATAATATCTACTGAACCTCGCCTGCATCTTCTTTTGAAGATGAAATGGCTGCACACACCACTTGTTTGCTATCACTAACACTTCAAAAACAACAATTAAAAGGTACAGCACTATGTAGCAAATTACCTTTTTTTAAGCCATCCCACTTTGTTTTTTGAGCTACAAGATACTCTTTGGCAGGAGAACACACTGCCATCTGCCTGCTCCTCATGAAGGCTGCAGGGCACACCAAAGCATGCAGAGCAGGAAACGCAGGTGATGCAGGACTTCAGTCTCAGAATGGGGAAATAAGAATGTAAGAAAGGAGCAGGGAAACAGTCTGCAAGGCTGGGACAGAGGGCACGGATAGCAAGCAGGCTCACCACCAACTTCATTGCAGAGTTTTGCACAGTGCCAGGGTCAAAGCAGCAGTGCCATTTCAAACAAGATCCTATTTACTACTTAGGTTACACCACAGGAAGACAGGGAATATGCAGGGAAACGCATGCAAGTGAAGTAACTGTGAAACAGTAAGATTTCACAAATAAAACAATCAGCATTTATTGTTGTATTACAAAACACTTCATATTTTGGCAATATTTTACAGTTTATCCTTTTTTCTTCTTAGGGCCTGTTGAAAAGGTATGGAGGGGGAAGAAAAGAGAAGAACGCTGAAATCAAGATTAAATTTCAATGTCTTGCTTAAAAAAAATCCTCCCAAACTGCCCCAGTCCCTCCCACCAAAATAAAAATCTAGTTTCACTCAATTCCACTATCCAAAGAGGCCATGGGTGAAGCTGCAGGCAAAACTCTGGCAATTTCACTATCAAACGCATCAAGAAGACAAACAAAACATTCACAGTGGTCTTCAGTATGGTCTGTTGCGTTGATCATTTCTGAAATCATTTCTGAAAGGGAAATAAGAAGTTATAAGGAATCCCTTAAGCAAATTAACAAACAGTCCCTTCAGTCAAACATCTCTACACTGACTTCTGTATATTCTTCTATGTTTCGATAGCCTCATCAAAAAAATGTTCATAAAAACACAATCAACTGGCAAACTGACATTTCCTCTGGAAGTTAGTATTTTCATAGCACAGTTGTGCACACACACACATAAACAACGCTGCTTTCCCACAGGCTTTATCAATTTCACAGTCTGTATGCTCCACAAACAAGCAAGGGCAAAGAAGCTGCTTACCTTCCCCCCATTTTACCACCATAGCCACCTCCCCTATCACCGCCTCTGCCACCGCGCCCTCGATATCCTCTTTCTCCTCCATAGCCACCTCTCCCACGAAAATCTGGAAGAAAATGCAAACCAACACATCAGCCAGGGTTTTTTTAAAAAATAACACTTTCAGAAGAGAGGTAGCTGTTTTTTTGGGGTTTTGTTTTTTACACACACCTCCTGATGGACGTGAATCTTCTGGTCTGGGCTCACCACACTGGTTGCAGGAATTCCTGCGAGCGAAGTTCATATTACCACAGCCCCTAGAAAAGACAAGGATTCCCCAGATTTAGCTGCTAAGAAACTCAGAGAGCATACACGAAACACCACTGCCCAATTAAAAATGTCACTTACGGGTTAGGACAAACCCAATCACCATTTTTGGGTTCCCCACTTCTACCCTGGAAGCCCCCACCTCTTCCATATCCACCACGTGAACCTGTAGACAAAATTATAATCAGAATAAAGGAGGGGAAGCGTCTATGACCTACAGATGAGACATATTTATTAAGGACTGTCACTGGCTTCAGAACCCAAGTGACAGACAGTCTTTTCAGGCAGAATAGAGAGTGTTTAATGCAAATATATCCCTACTAGGCAAGCCACTGAAACCATAAAAGGAACTCTGAAAGCAGCAGGTAGTGCAAATGACAAAAAAATGGTATCACCCTAGGATTCAGTATCTACTATTTGATTTACTACTAGCTACTAGACAGCTAGAAGATTTGGGCAAATGACAGCAGAAGTTTCAGGCACCACCAAAACTCAACAGCATTCAATGTCCACAAGTTAAGATATCTGCATAGCCGAAATACACATGTTCATGTGGACAGATTTATAACTTAGGCAGGTGGGGAAAAATAAGAAGCAAGGACAGCACGTGGTGGCCAGAAAAATTTGCTCCACCACAGATTTTTT